TACTGTACTGCAAGGCTTGCAACAATCTGCATAGTAGGCACTCTGTAAATACTTTTAGTGACTAGAAAATGGACATGAAATGATGGCTAGTTACTTAGACTCTCATATTACTGACATTCGAGGAAGGCGTGTTTATGTACAAGAACTTCTCCAGTAGCTCTAGGTGTCCTCAGGTACACAACCACACACTCACAAAGGTGCGCCCACTCCAGGGCTTGTGGGGGAGAAAGAGCAGGGCTAGAGACACCTCCTTGGTGCAGCACAAGGGGCCTGGGTCTGCTCCGTTAGATCTCCTCATGGTCCCACCCTCACCCTGGATCGCTCAGATACCAGAGTGAGGCGGTACCAGCCCCGTACCAACGCATTTGTTCTTCCCCCAGCACTCTTAGGGGCAGAAACTGGGGGATCACCCTTGATCCCACCCCTCCCTCGTGCCATACATCTGGTCACTGAAAGTAAGCCCCACCAAAGTTCCTCCGGGATCCGACTGTGTCTCCCAATGCCACTCTGGCATCTTGGCTCCAGGACCTCCTCTCTGCAGGATATTGCCACAGCCTCCCCCTACTCCTGCTGGGCCCACAGCAGCCAGCGCCCTTACAATCCAGCCTCCCTTTCACCTCTGCTCTGCATCTTCCTGAATCATTTAATGCTCCGCTTCATCCTCCCCAGTGGCCCTGTCTGTAGCGCTCCCAGCTCTGAACTGCAAGCACTTGGTTGTGATGCTGTTGACAGCAGTCTCTGCTGACTGTGGCGCCTTGAGAGAAATCGTGCTCCTTCCGTCCCTGTATTTGGCCCCTGTACCCAGCAAGGAGGTCAACACATTGGAGGTCCTCAGTAAATGCCACTGAATGCACCAAAATACAAAGAAACAGTGCAAAAAATATGATCCTCAGCCAAAAGACTCCACAGATGCAGACCCAAGGCCACCAGGTGCCTGCCTAAACATGTCCGTTTCTTTACCAGAAACAGACAGAATGGTTCACAGGGAGGTATTTTTATTACCGATGCATGGGTCGTGGATTTTTTTTCCTGTCTTTTAAATCCCCAAATTGATTCTGCAAACATGGAAATAACTAGATTGAAGACCAGGTGCATCTTAACACCACGGGGCCTCAGCTGGATCACCACATCCAAACAGAGCTCTGGTAATAATCCTGTTGCCCAGGAAGAATATTGAAACCCAAGTCTCACCTCTCGGTGTTGGAAAGAGCGATATGTCCTGTACCTCACTGTGTATGGAGGACTGTAATTTAACATTCATTATGCTCTAATACATGGCATAACAGGGAATTCACTGCAAGTCCTCAGTAAGTCTTTTCACAGGCAGTAAATATGGGAGCTAAGTGCATAACCTCTAGAGTCTGTCCACCTAGGTTTGAATAACAGCTCTACTATTGTGCCCTCTTGGAAAAAGAGGTTCTCTCTGCCTCAGTTCCCACATATATTAAGTGCAGAAAACAAAACCCTGTCTCATAGGCTTGTTTAAGAGAATTAAATAATAAACATACGGGGCTAGAGCAACATGTCACACATAGTAAGTGTTCATGATAGTTTGGCTGCTGTTAATAGTATCTATGAGTCTTGGAACTGCTTCTGAGCATGTTTCTGTCCTGGCATCACACTGCACATTAAGAGCAATGGGAGTCAAACATCACATCGCTCCAAATCATCAGCCAGCAAAGGAATCTCTGTCTTGACATCCTAGGTGGCCTTGACTGTTAGATTTCCCTTGCCTTAAAATGGCTGCTACATAAAATGGCATCCTTCTCCTTCCCATAATACCCTGCTTCCCACTTAAAAATACGGCTTCACTCGCCAAAAGACAACCTTCTTCTTCCCAACATGCCCCTCTTCCCGCCAAAAGAATAACCTGATACTGCTACCTCCTAGCAACTAGTGATGTCACAGGCTCCTCCAATCCCTAGCCACTACATCACTCAATCCCACCCCAGCTCCTATAGGAAGCGCTCCCTGTCCCGGCCATATTGCTCTCTCTCCTTTGTTTGGAGATTGCCCAGCAGATCGTCCCTACAATAAAGGCTTGTTGTGGTTCGGGTCTGGTCTCGGTTTTTGGCTCTTTTATCTGACATCGACCTTGTCTTAGAGGATTGTGGTCAAAGACAGCACAAAGCAGTGAAGACACAGGTGCTGTCCTTGGCCAGAGGACAATCTCTCACCTCCCCAAGTCACAGCCTGAGCATGGGATCCGGTGCTTATGGTCATTCAGAGGTGTAAAAACAACCTGGCCCCTAGGACGAGACAAGGTGCACCTGCACTTGGCCTCCCTCTCCACCTCCTTCCCCAAAGGCTCCACAAGACCAGAAGCCAGAGTTCCCTCTCCACTGACAGTGGGACCCAGTGGCTGGCCACTCCTTCGATTTCCCCCAGCACTGAAACAAGGTGAACTCAGAAAGAGCAGAAGCTCTGAAGACTGATGCCAGACCAAGGTTCTGAAGCCAAGAGCTCTGGACCCACCAAAGCTGTTAGGGTAAATGGCTCAGACTTTCTGAGTCTTAGTTTCCTGACCCTTAATGCTTGATACACCTGCCTGATACACCCAACTCAAGTGGAAGGGATGATTAAATGGGAAAATGAGTTAAGTGGAGAAAAAAATTGGAAAGTCATGAAAATCATGCACAAAATGTAACTCTAATAAGTGATTACTGGCTTTTAAACACCAACCTTCACCCTTGAGGTCATGCTATTATAAAGATTTCTTCTATCAGAAAAAGTATTTTTGAGGAGAAAGAAAATAATTGATTTAAACCATCTGGTGATAAAGATGAATGATATGACAATAAATTATAGGCAACTTCTGCATTAAAAATTATTGAGCACAAAATAAATATTTAAGAAACAAAATTATTCAACTAGCAGTGAATATTAATAAAGTTTAAAATGGATTGTCCATGAAAAACAGAAAGAAAAACATTAGGTCATATTTTGAGATCTGTTTGCGTCCATTCCAAAAACAATGTAGTAAAAAATGAACAGTATTAACCACTCTATTGCCCCTACCTGCCCTGACCTTCGACATATCTTCAGAGTTCTGAATAAATCTGGGTAGAAATGTACAGTGAGATAGTTTTCAAATTCATACAGTTTCCTCTAACACTCTCTAAAATTTCACTTTTTTTCCTGCTCAAGAACAAACACTTCACTCCAGATGCTAAGGGTGGAGCTACCTGAATCAGATGCTACAATCCAGCAAAAAGGTCAGGAGGGGACACCTAACAGCCAGCAGCTATAAACAAATCTTAGCCCTTCTGAGGACCTCCATGCTTTACTCAAACAATCCTGCTCGATAAATACCCCTTCCTCTTTCCCGATAGATCATTTAAAGCTTAAAGTGGAAAATCACCTGTTTGAGACAACACCTCCAGCAAAGCACTTAAACAGAGTTAAAAACATATCCTATGGTATCCCAAAATGTAAGCTTTGCCACTGCTCCACGAGGCCTCCACTAAGACAAACAAGAGCTCTTCTACAACCCGGGGCAAGTGGAGATTCTTTAAAGATTTCTAGGATCTCTTGAGATTATGTGGCACAAAGGCAGAGGGAAGTGAAAATGATCTTATGCAGTATCAAAGAAGGGGAGAGCAGGGGCAATCAGAGTAGTTGACAATTTTCAGTCTCAATACTGCAAACATCACCATTATCCAAAAATAGCAGAAATTTCAGTATATAAGTATGTGAAGAGCATTTGCAAAATTGAAGTCCATGTGTAAGTTAGAAAGTAAAATACTGAAATAAAAATTTTAAGTCCAATGGATGAGATGCCAAAATGTCTGAATGTGGTAGGAACTGAAGAAGGATCGGACAGCACTATCTCTGATTAGCTCCCAATAAAGCTCAAATAAAAATCTGTCAGTAGAAGCAAGAAACGGAGAGAGTATTAAGGGCAGAGGTAATGTTTTGGGGAACCAGAGTAAGACAAAATTAAAGGACTAAGGACTTTTTAAATGGGATTAAGATCGATAATAATTCTCCTCAATCTACTACCCCAACTCATGCAAATGCCAACATATCAAGTATAAAATGAGAATATGCTGACTCAGAAAGAGTTTTTGTTCAATTTAAATTCGACCAGGTAAGAAGAGCCAAGGCCTGAGGGAAAATAAATGTGTGTACACTTACAATGTTTTCTCTAACCAGTCACTTCTCTTCTTATAAAAAAAATTCTAGGGCTTTCTTCTTGACTACAATTTTTAGTTTGACCAATGAATTGTTTCATACAAGAGAAATCTACAACAGAAACACAACCATGCCCAAGAAGCCTCACTGAAATTTATAAATCACTTTGAGATTAAATTTAGAGTAAATGTTATTTCATAACCATATTGTCCTGCTACTATGAATTAAAACTACGTTTTTATTCAAAAAAGCTGTGTTCTGTGTACTAGTAAATTGATTTGGTTGGAGTTTAGAACAACAGTGATTAATCACTTCTACCTACACAGTTAAAAGAGACAATTAACAGCATTATACCCTGGCTAGATGAAGGAAGAGACAACTTGCCAATCATGGGGGTACCCAGCTCAACAGAATCCCCCAAAAATCCATCTTTTCAGTCTTAGGCTGGTCACTGCCAAGGTTAAGTTCTTTGCTTTCCTCTCATCTGCCAAGGAAGACTTCTCAGTGGCAATGATCATCCTAGCAATGAGGGTCTCCGCCGGGTAACCCATAACCTTTCTAAGAGAAATGCGAAAGAACATGGGAAGAAAAGAGGGAAGAAATACAGACAAGTAGGAGCAGAGTGATGAGAAGGAACAGCAGGAGGAGGAGTAAAAGAGGAAGTGGAGATAAGGCAGTAGAAGTGAGAAAGGATGAAAGATGAGCAGAAAGAGGACCAGGAAACGGGGAAAGAGGCACATGCGGAGCAGGATCAGGGCCAAGAGGGCTCCTACCAGTCCATCAGGACCAAGAACTGCGCTGTCTCTTCCTGCCCTCACTGTCGTCCCTGGGGGGAAATGGAGTCACAACTCCTGTGGAGCCATTACCTGGATGAGCTCGTCCAGCTCAGTGGAGTTGACACAGGAGTGCTGGGATATGAACGTTTGCTTCTGGATCACAACGGTGGTCCCCTGGGAACTCTCCTGAGGCTGCTCCAGCGCTTTGAACACGGTGGCTCCGATGATTAGGTAGAGGACAACCACCAGGAAAATCGTGGAGACCGTCTTCCATTTCATAACATTAATGGCTGTGTCACTCTCCACTCGGGAAGCAAGCACTGTGGGTTTCGTGGAAAATGAGAGCCTCGGTTTGGAGTTCTGAGCAGCAGATTTTGGATCCAGCAAGTCGGGTGCCGCCACTGACAACAACAGAGAAAGGGGATTAGATGGAGGAGACTGGAGGGGAATGGGCTGGGCTGCTTCTCTGAGGGCTGGTGGGATCCTTCGTGTCCTCCTGTTGGACACTCTGGAACCTGACCCAGGAGGGCTCGAACTGGAGAATTCAGGACCCTATATAAGGTCAAGGAAAGGGGGCTGGGTTTTCGCTCTTGGCTGCGATTGGAGTTCCAGGGGGAAAGAAAAAAACAGGAGTCATACCAAGAAGCTTAAAAAACTTAAGCAATGCCCAAGGGCTTCCTCATTAATTTCTAATTTCATATCATCCACCACACCATGCCCAAGAGTTAGTGGAACTAAAGGAGAATTTTGAATGTTGCGGAAGAAAGTTTCTGGCTTATTCCTGTTTTCAAGAACCTTATACTGGAAGAAATCAATAGGAAGAACGCTTTCTATTTTAAAATTTATAATAATAAAAGACATATTGTAATTGCAGTATAAGAGAATTTGTGAGCCAAATCTGACAGCTCAAAAGAAATCATAATTTTTTCTGATAAAACACAGTGTAAATAAACCATTCAGTCCAATCATCTATGTGTGTGCTTCTCTTCCTAAGTGACCTTATGAAGCATGAGGTCATTTTCTGGCATGTTTAAAAATTATAAGTCATTTCTAACCCTTGTGGCACAGTCGTAGGTACAGTTAAGAAAAGATGAGTCCTTCCCTTTCAACAGTGAACACCAAGAAAACAAAAAGAAAATTAAAACTTTGACTCACACCTTAGACCCTCCATGTGCTGCATAGACCTAATTGCTCCATTAGAGTGGATTTATGGGTTCCCTCACACGTTCCCACGTACTCTGAGGTGACTCTACCTTCATTTATTATTTATCTCAGCTGGTCAAAAATATCATTAATGGATCTTCTTTCAGAAAATGCAAGAGCTACTAGACTTCCAATTGCTAAAGGGAAAATAAGCCATCTACTACAGGACACTTGATTGCAAAAACAGCACTGAACTACAAAGAGTTAATAGCATGGCCAGAAGATATGGGACCTTAAGAAAAAACTCCAACTTAAATAGAATAATCAATTCAAAGTCTATCATTGCTAAATATGAGTAAACTTGCTGTCACATCTAATATAGGCTTTGTAAAAGTATATCCTAAATCTGAAACACACTTTTAGGTAAGAATACAAGAAATCCCCATGGAATGGCACCTAAATACCCAACAGCCACCTGAAACCACTTGAGGATAAGGTGCTCAAGGCCAGTGTCCACATGGCTACTGCCCCACTGTTCTGTCTAGCCCACACAGGCTGCCAGAGTTTGAGTTCATAAAGGGCATCTTCCACTGGCCACCTAAAAGCTTTCCACACAAAGCCATCCTCCACCAGCACAGCTCAGAATAGTTCTTTGAAGGGATGAAATTAGATGAGGACACAGCACTGGGGGTCTAATGAGAGGTTCCTCACCCAGTATCCCATGCCAGCAGGGCCCTAGGAGTCAGCCTTCTGGACCCAGGTATGTAGCTGGCTCCCTCCCATACACTGACTTATTCTGAAGACAGCCACAAACGGGGGGACCCCTTTAAGACATTTAGGAAGGAAACTTCATTCAAAATTAGCACTACGCCTGTGCTCATACTGTTTTAATTTTTACAAGACATACTTTTTAAATAGCAGTGTTCCTAATAGCTAAAAATTACTGTCATCTCCAGACTGGCCAGCCCCATTCCCCAAGCTGGTTAGGGTGTCTGGGTGAAAAATTAAAGTCATGATCTAGAGCTTAGCCATTTTGGAAATAAAAATAACAGAAAATCACAAAGAAGCTTCACGTTATCTCCCTAAAGAAAGCTTTCCCGGTCTCTGCTCTCCACGTCTCTGTGCTCCGTGCCTCTGCTTTTTCACCTCAGTGGTTTCTAGTCTGAAGAACTGGAAAGAAAGCACCGCTGTTTACCTTGAAGCTACCAAATCCTAATCCAAGACGCCACTAAAATACTGTCATCATAAGCTTTGGGGGAAAAGAGGCCAGATTTTTTTTTTTCAAGATTGTGTGTGTGTGTGTGTGTGTGTGTGTGCGCACGCCCGCGAGCGTGTGTGCGGCAAACCAATACATTTTCTCAAGGAGTTTAATTCATTTAAACTGTTGTCTTTTTTAATTGGCAGCAATACATATAATGCACATTTGGCAGACAGAATGGGCAGAAACTGGTGAAACAAATAAATAAATGGCAGCCTTTTCTCTGGATCTAACATGGGGAACCTCTGGCTTTGCGCCCCGCGCTTTCAGGGGACCTGGGAGCAGGGCAGAGCCTTCCGCAGGCTCCCGGCATCTTCAGGACCCCTCCCCTCGCCCAGCACAGCGCACCGCGGTCCTAACCCAACCGCGTCTCCGTGCTGCAGCAACTGACCCCCGCACGCACCGCAGGAAAAACGAGGTTTTTTTTTCTTCAGCACCACTGCGTGTCCCACCATGCAATGGGCAACAAGTGTGACCAGGTCACCATGCGACCTGCCGGTGGTCCACTCTCAGGACCGACCAACCCTCTGCCTGCACCGCGACCTCGCCCCAGTGTCCCCCACCCAGGCACCCCCGGCAGATGCAACCCCAGGCGCCAGCGGGAGAGGGGGCAGAAGCGGCCGGGAGAGGACCCGGGATGGGTTCGCCTCCGCGTCCGGATTGTGACCCAGCACTTCGGACGGGAATGCAGAGGGGACGCGTCTGCTGGCGCCGAGGGGACCGAGCAGCCTCGCGGCTGGGGGGGCCGGGTCTCACCTCCTGCAGTGTAGCCGGGTCTCTCCCGCGAGGCGCTGGGAAGCATGGGGCATGCAGCATTCAAAATGCTTTTTGGGAAAAGACGGACTTGAAGCTTTTTTTTTTCTTTTTTTTTTCTTTTTTTTTTTTACCAACACGCCATTGTACTCACTTATTCCGAGACGGGCTGCGCGCTCCCAGCAGCACGGGCAGGCATTTTCCCCGGCTTTGTTTTACAAGGTGGGCAGCGAGCGGGCCTGGACGCGGGGGGGCGTGGGGCGCGCGGGAGGAACGGGATCGCGGGAGGAGGGGAGGGACGCCGCGGGCTGGGCAGAGGGCGAGGCCCAGGCCAAGCTGGGCTCGGGCGCCGCCTCCGCCCCGAAGCCGCACGCTGGGCCCGGGCTCCGCGCTGGCCCGGCCGGGGGGCGGGCGGAGCAGCCGAGCGCCCCGGCGTCTTTGTGCGCGCGCCTCGCATGTCTTTGTGCGTCCCCGCCGCGGGGGTGTGGCGCGCTCGGGCGCCCCGGCCCTGCCGCCCCCAGGCCCGGGGGCTCCTCCGCCCGCCCCGCCCTGCGTGCACCCCCGGGTCGGGCTCGGGGGCTGCCGGGCTCACCTGCCGCTCCCTCCCGCGCCCGCCCTGTCGGCCACTCACGTCTCCGGGGCGCGTCCTAGCCCTTCCAGGGCGAGGCGCGGGGTCCCCAGCCTCTCGCCCGTGGGCGTCTTCCTCCCCCTCACGCGCCCCCTCATCCCAGGGTTACCCGGGGACGCGTCCCCTCGGACGCCGAGACCCCCGGGACTGTGGTGGTGTGAGGGTGCCAACAGCCTCCTCCCCAGTCTACACCCGCGAAAGGCTGTGGAGTCCCCAGCAGTCAGCCCCGGGGGTGCAGGACTTGGCCCCTGAGCTCTGATCCCGGACCCCAGAGGATGCAGATGCAGCCCGCAGTGCCGGGGTGAAGACGTCCGGCGATGGAGGGGAAGCGAGAAGACCCGGTTAGGTTCTCCGGGCGAGACCGCTCTGCTGGAGGCGGAGGGTGCTAGGTGCAGGGGTGGGGGACCTCGGGCCTCGGCCTGGGGTGGGCGCCCCCCCCTCCCCCTCCCCCTCCCCCTCCCCCTCCCCCAGGGTCCAGGTGGCCAGGTGCAGGCCCCGCCCAGGCCGAGGAGGCGCGGACCGCTGAACTCGAGGCGACCCGGGACCCGGGAACCGCCGGAAGAGCAGCCTGGAGATTAGATGCCATGCCGGCCTTGTGATAGGCGAATCCTCAGGGCGCTAGATGTAGCGGAACTTCAAGCATCTGTAAACTTTCTTTCTTCCCACTTCCGCGGGAGTCCTGGCTGGCCTCCGCCCTCCCACCCGACTGCTGTGGGCCAGGGTTAGCTGGGCACCGCTGCGCAGCCCGGCTGGGGCCTCTCCCCAGTTGCGTGGTCTCCTAGTGAAAGCCATGGACAGGACTGTAAACAGGCCCTCTACACCTTTGCGAGACCGACCCCACCATCGACGAGGAAAATGTCGAGCTAGTCTTTTTAGATTCCAGGATAGACTCAGCACCTCTTCGCCCTATTAAAAAAAAAAAGAGTAATATAAATTCTGCTCGAATTTGAAGAAGTTTTTCTTCGCTTCTGCTCTCCGTAGTAAAAGTCCTTTCTAAAATATGAATCTAATCTTCTCACTTCCAGATTTAAAATCCTTCCAGGGTCCAGGTGACATGTAACTGCTTGACGATCTGGAGCCGGCTGGTGGCATTGTGAGGTCAAGCCTGTCTAGTATCGCTAGGGCAGCAGGTTGGGAACTCAGTAGAGGTCCAGGCCCAAGACAGAATTTCTCCTTTCCCAGAAGGCTCCATATTTGCTCTTAGTGGTTACACGAGGCCCACCTACATTCTGTAGAGTAATCTCCCTTCTTTGAGTTCAACCGATTGCGGATCTTACCCCATCTCCAAAATACCTTCGTGGCAGCACGGAGACTACATTGGTACTTGCGTAAAGACTGCTTACTACGGGTTAGGCAAGGTGATGCGTAAAACTAGCATGGCAGGCATCTCCCTTCAGAGCTCCACACTGCCGCAAGCTCCCCTAGGGCCCGGCTTGTTGGTGTCATGGCCTTTGTGTCCCAGGTCAACTTGTACTCCTGGCTTCTCACCAAGCACTTTGTGCAGGCCTTCCTTAGACCGCATCGTAAACTCCCAAGGGCATGTCTGTTCACTGCAGTACGAAGGTCAAGGTGCTAAGCGTAGGATGAACGTCTAAATGACCTAGTGATCTCCACTATATAGTTGACATTGGCATTCATCTGGTCTCCCTCTGAGCATCTGGAACCAGGACATCCTAAATATATATAGGAAAAGACATGAATTTCCTATGCTAGAAATAATTTTCTACCTAGACAGGCTCTTTAGTCTCCAAATAAAATGATCTCTCCCTTTGTACATTTTTTTCCATTTTGTTCAATAACAGCTGTTCTCCATGCCCTCTCCACCTCCCTGGTTTTTCTGCAGTCTAACTACACCTAGCCTACTAGCACTGGTCCTCGGTCCAGTGGGCTAATTCATACTGTGAGGGAGTTACTTGCAGTTTAAATACCCCCTATGTATGTATATATGCTTGTGCAGTGCTCCCCTTTTCCCACCAACCCCAAATGCTGGATTGCCATTTTCCCTATCAATGCCTAAAAGGAGCTGTCCTCCATCAGACATCGGGGTGTGGGTGGCTGAGGACATACCCTATAAAGAGGTTAGAACAAGGAAAGGAAAGTTTAAAAAAGAAGAGCACGGAAGACTCCACACTAGCAGTAGGAATTGCCCCCACAAAGTGAAGTGAAAAGCAAGACCCCAGTGAACCCCCGCGCGGTCTGGAGTCCCGCTCTCCCACCCCTGCTCCAGTACTCTGGCCCATCTAGAGCCTTCTTATTTAGTCCAAACACAGACTTGCAGTGTTCGAAATAAGAGGGAAAAGGGAAGTAAACCTGTTTGTGTATTGCTGAAACCAGAGAAACAAGGAAATGGGATGACTTGTCCTGTTTAATTCTGTGCCCACATTACTCAAGGCCTGTAAATCCCAGCAGAGCAGGAGAGAAAGGGTAGATGAGCACCATTTCACCCAGGCTGCGGGACTACGCAGTGTTCCTTAACTTGATTTCAATGGGTAGGAGAGCCGAAATATATAATGAAATATTTAGCTCCCTGAATTCTATCTTGCCCCCATTTTGGTGCTTCAGATTTATTTTTCTGACCCACCGAGCAGTATGAAGTCAATAGGACTTCACTTTCATTTTTATTTTGCTTTTTTTTGCCTTCACCTACTCAAAATGTCATAAAAGAAAAAAAGCTGTGTTTAATGAGTGTGCTAGTGGTTTTTTCCCCATAATTCCAATCCTTCCTGGGACCTCAGAGTCAGACTTCTGTGGTTCTCCTTCCTCTAATATTTCTGAACATGTGAGTCTGAGGGAATTACTTTGTCTTTCCGACTATCAGTTTCCTAATCTACAGAATAGGGGTGATTTCCTCAGGTTACATGAGATCTTTGTAAGAATCTAAGTGAGTTATCATATGTAGGAGCTTTCCATTACTATAACAAAATATTTGAGACAATTTAACTTATAACTATGGTGCATTTAAAATAAAAATATTTATTAAAGTAAAAAAACAAAGCCACACTGCCATTAACTGCCCTGACAATCCTTCCCTTCAGTTCAAACACACTTATCCCATAGTTCTTACCACTTTCTGAGCAGTTCCGGAAGTCCTTTCCTGAGGGTCTTTAGTTCTGCTAAAATTGCAAGTCATGGCATGGCAGCCCCAGTGTCCTCAACTGATTTGAAACATTTACTTTTGATGGTTATTTTAGAGGTAGGGAAGAGCCAGAGGTTGTGTAGTGCCAGATCCAGTGAATAGGGTGGAAGAAAACATACAGTAATGTTTTTACAAGCCTGCCTTTCTATGGGCAACAATGTTCACTGTATTTTTTATTGCTCCTCATAAAGACATTCACAAAACAGCACTTCCAGAACTGCTTCAGAATTGGGGAGAATGATGGAATAAATGTGCCTAAAGCAAAGAGGGGTGTTTTGAGGAGGATTCAAGGCGATGTGTCTTTTTAAAATTTAAACATTCACCATATATGTTAAGCACTCCTTGTAAAGAGAAAAGCCTCAGTTGGCTCACGGTTCTGGAAGTCCTTGTTCAAAATAATGTGGCCCTGTTCAAGGGTGGCACATCACAGAGTCAGCATGCAGCAGAGGGAACCGACTCATACACAGAGTCAGGAAGCAAAAGAACAACTGGATGGACCAGGGTCTGGCCCTCCCCTTTGGGGACACACCTCCGCTAATCTAAACCTCTCCACCAGTCCATGCCTCCTCAAACACTGCCACCCCAGAGGCCAAGTTGGCCTTTGGGAGACATTCGACATTCAAACAATAGCAGCACATACTTGTTCCTTATAGATTCCCCATAGAACTTCATTTCCTCCTGTGCCTAGCCTCACCCCACGAACCAGGGAGTTCCTGACCGAGAAAGACCACCAACAAATTCCAGTTTTCCAATGCATTTTTCCATTCATTTATCTTCTGAGTAGCTCCACCGCACAGCATGAGATAAGGAAGGATAGATCACATTCATCAAATTTTTTCTGAGTGCCTGCTACATTTGAGGATGTAGCAAGAGCAATGCCGTCAGAAACTGTATGGTCTAGAGAGGGTAGGGAATGAACAAGTTAAAAAGATTCTGAAAGTGTCATGAAAGGACATTACTCAGGTCTATGGGAATATTAAAAGTTGGAAGCTCATAAAAGGCCTGTCTACAGCAGTGACAATAAACTTGGGTCCTGAAGAGGAGTACCCTATTGAGCACTATGCATTAGGGAGAAGCATAATGTGAGCTCAGTGAATGAGCTTGCAAAATGACCGAAGGAGGCAGCTAGGAGAATCTGGGGAACTCAGAGAGTGAGGATTTCGGTGGACAGGGATCAAGCCAGAGAGGCAGGCAGAGAACAAGCCCAGCAGCATCTGAATTTTAATTAATGGGACTTCGACTCTCGTAACAGCCTCTCTGGTAATGAAAATCCATCAAAGTGAGATGTCACATGTACTAGGGTAGCATTACTGTCACAAAATGTCTGAGGTAATTAACTTGTAAAAAGAAAAGCTTTATTTTGACTGACAGTTCTGGAGGTTCCAGTTCAGAATCTCATCTCATCAGGCATATTTTTAAAAAATTACTCTGGTTGCTATATGCAGAGCAGACAGAAGGTGGACAAAAAATGTGAGCGTATGTGTTTAGACATGGTTGCTTCAGCCCAGGTGAGAGATCCATGGTGACTTGGATGGTGGCGGTACCAGCTTAGCA